GAGAAGAATACCAAATCACAAGCAAGCAAACTCTGAACATCTGCTTCATGTATTCGTATCAAATAAAGAAATGGGGATGTGTCCTTTTAACCGCCAGCATCCCTCCTGCAGAAAGGTGCTGGGCAAACCAAGGACAGAATGTAAAATTTTGAAAATCTTTTTAGGTGAACCCAAACCATTCTGTCCAACCTAAACTGAATTGTTTTTATATATATTTGTAAAGCTTTTAAAATCTCTTTCCATCACTGTTGGTTTTAAGTAGAAAATGAGTAAAAACAAATTCAAGAATTTCACTTAATAAATGGCTAAAAGCTAGAGACCTGTCCATGTTCTCCCTCCACTGTCTTTGAAGCCATGACCTCAAGGGAGCAAAGGAGAAATAATATATTGGAGTGTTAATTTGTGCGATATTACTCGCAGTCAACCCTCGAACGTCAGTGTGAGCGGCTCCAGAAGGAAACCCAGCGCTCTCAGGAGGTGGTCTCCCAGACCTGCAGGTTTTCTCCACAGCTCCTGGCTTCTTGCCCACTCGGTGGTTGTCACTTCACTTGTTTGAGAGCTGCTCACTAGAAAAGGATTTGCTATTCTCTGGGAAAGGTAGATAATGTTAGAAAAAAGAACAGTCCATTGCATTGGAGAGTGATGGAGTGGGGTACCACATCTGCACGCCAAGCAGATAAGAAAGTACCGTCTAAACTCCTCCCTGGCCCAAAGGGAAATACAGTCTATCCTGGTGACAATGTGCTCACAGAGCTGTGCAAAGCCCTCAGCTTGGCCAGCTGGAATTTCGGGGGGGGGGGGGGATTTTTTTGACCAATAGTCACAACCCAGGTAGGAGAAATGGCTTTTCACCCTGAAAACCCTTCTTTTCCTGTTTTTCACTACTAAACACACTGAGCATCCCCAGAAATGGATTTTCACATATGCCTTGTGAATCTCCATATCTAGCTAGGGCAGGGATAATATGTCTGAGCTCGTTTATGTACTTGCTCTCTTATTTACCGCCTCTAATGTGATGAATTGTTATTGAAGGTTTCTTATCCACATTCCTGTTTCAGTAGAAACTCGCGCTGTGTTTTATGCGTGAGTTTTACACTGCTGCAGCAAGAAGGCATGCAGATGAAGAATGCTTCTCCAAATAATCCCCTAGCTAGGAAATATAAACAATTCTCACTGAGCTCCAGCAGAAAACCACAAATTCTGGTGCAAATTGTATTTCCATGAAGTTCTACGTATGAACACAAAAGAGAAGCACAAGGGAAAGCAATTCAATCAGGTGCCATTGCAGCCAAATTCCCAGCCAAGTCTGGGGAACTCTCCTCCTTATCCCATATCAAAGCAACTGGGAAAGTAAGTACCACCACCTTCACTTCCCCATCCTCTTCTTTGTTTGCTGGAGCTATGGATCTTGTACTAAAAAGAAAGCAGTTTACTGGTGATACAGACTACCGTTGAGTGATCCAAAGCCTGCTGAAGGCCACCACTTGTTTCCACTGATTTAAACCAAAAGAGGGTAGATTTAGATTGAATATAAAGAAGAAAACCTTTACTATGAGGGTGGCGAGGCGCTGGAACAGGTTTCCCAGAGAAGTTGTGGATGTCCCGTCCCTGGAAATGTTCAAGGTAAGGTTGGATGGGGTTGTGGGCAACCTGATCTAGTGAAAGGTGTCCCTGCCCATGGCAGGGGGGTTGGGGTTAGACTAGATGGTCTTTAAAAGGTCCCCTCTGACCCAAATAATTCTGCGATTCTATGATAAATGTAAAAGGTTTGGGATAAAGTCCTAAACTGCAACCAGCTCTGGCTCCCAAGTCAGTGAGAGAGAGCAGGAGAAGCTGTGCTGCTGGGAAACTCCAGTCTACACCAGTAAGAGGACCGGGTTATCAGCGTGCAGTCCTACACACTGAGGTATCCACTGTTATTCCAAGGAGCTATAATGACCTGTAATTCATCCCTGTTTGGATTTATGACCAGTCTGAATTTCATGTACAGTTTTCAAAATCTGTGTCATAATTACAAAAATTGCAAATAACTTTTTAATATCAATGTTAAAAAAATAGGCAAATCTTTCGCAACATTTTTATTGCCTATTTACAATCTCAAATCAAATGGTTTACAACTTTGTCTTCTGAAAATATACAACGTAAGAAAACACTAGCCTGGCAAAATTATGCTTTTATGATAATGACAGGGATGAGTTATAGTTGCTCTAGTTAAACTATAATGGCTGCACAGATGCTAGGGAAAAGCTATTGTACAACATGTTTTGCCACCATAAGCATGGCACCTGCTAGCCCCACCACGGTACATATAAGAGGGTATTAGCATTTCTTTATGAATATTATTTTCAAGGGTTATAACTGGACCATAAACATTCACTTGGGGATAAAATATCAGTATGCAGGCTTTAAAAATATACCTTGAGAAATACTCAGCCTGTTTTGCATATCTGGATTTCAGAAGCAAGTTTATGAGAGGTAATATATAATTTGTTTCTGATCATCTAGAATTCAAAAATGGTCTGCATTCTTCTCATGGTCTATATGAATTTTCAGCAGGTGAATTTAGTGATATTTACAGAGGCAGAAACTAAATCCTCCAGCCCACTGCTGGCTATCAGGAAATAATAATATTTATCCACAGATTATGTGTTACACAAATGGCAATGGTGGGAGTTTCCCATGTATCTTGCCAAGCTGCCCCTGCACCCACCCATGGTCCCACTCACCCTGAGATGCTGCTCAAGGACATCAGCACTGGTTGTTATGACCCACCTCCATTTGCTGAATTTAGGCTGACAAACCATCTGCTGAGATGGAAATTTAATCTAAGTGTTATTTTCTACTGAAATGGGTGAGGAATACAGCGGCCATGAGCTCTTGCATAGAGAGTAGAGCTAACCACCAGCTGTAATGCATGTTATAGATGTGCTAGACATGGGCGAGCTGATTACACTCACCACAGCAAGAAAATACAGGAATTGAGGTAAATAGCATTACTAAACGTATGACACTACAATTATTTGCTCTAATTCCTGTTAGATAAAACTTTAGCTATTATATACTGCCAGTAAATATGTGAGGATTTTGGTCAAAGTGTATTGTCCGACTTTCTTAGCAAGGCAATTTTCATAAATAGAATATGAAGAACTGAAAAAAAGAGCGCTAACAGGTTCTGTAAAATCAGAGTCCACCAACCCAATTCTGCTTTTTAAAAATTTTTATAGATCAGAAGCAAGACTGTTTGAATAACTGGAATTTCAGTGAGATAAAATACCTCCAAAGAGAAGAGCCGCTGCTAAAAATCAAAGTAGGCATTTACTTGTGGCTCAAGATTCACGGGTTTTAGTGAGGGAAAATCTTTCCAAGTCTGTGGCCCAGCTTCTTCTTTGCTTTAAACCTTCTAGTCCAGCTGGACAGAGTATGAATGAAGATCAGACATTATATATTTCGTTCTCCACCACTGAATCTGCTCTATCTTACTCAATATTAAAGCCCTGCTAATGCCTTAGGCAGCAGTAGCTGACCCTTTGTATTAAGACCTCCTCTGCAGTGGATGCCTCATGCACATGCCTATTGATGTATTTTAGAGTGGAGATAATTTTTTATTTTGGGTACCTGCTCTGGCTTCATATTCCTAAGAAAACACCTCTTGTGTCTATTTTTTCATGCCACGTATTTCCCCCTACTCCTGCTATAATGTATTGTTATATTCCACAGAAAAAGCTTTCTTATGTCCATCTATATCAAAACTGGAGGAGCCACTTAAGCATCGCTTTCAAGGGCTCTGTATCACTCAGATGAATTTTCCCCTAATTGTATCCTTTAACTCCAAAAGGGGTTTGGGGACATACTTTGTATGAAAGATGCTATAGAAAACAAAAGTTGCATTGCTAGTGGTTCTGCTTTTATATTTCCATCCAGGTAACTCTCTGCACACCAATTTGCTTTCTCTTTTCCAATACCCATTTCCTCCTGGGGCTAGTTCCTGGGACAGAGCTGTCTTCAAATAATTTAATTATCATGTGCCATACACCTTTTTAGTCCCCCCTGAAATGGTGCGTGATGCCTTTGGTTTACATCACTTGTTGGAAAACACTCCAAAGCATTGAAAAACCATTAAATTGTTACAGTATTGGATGCCAACACACAGGGCTATTAGTCTAATTCATCCTTCAGATCAAAGCCCACACAGGCAGCTCTCCTGCCTACAGCTATTTTCCTTTTACTTTCCTGCTTGACAGTAGTCCCTCATATCCCTCTGTTCTACTTTCTTTGAACATACACATTTTCCTTTAGTCATGGAAATATAATTTATGTCTATTATACTGTATTATAGATTGCAGATCAGGACAAGCGTGCATTACCGCCTGGAACGTCTGTTTATTGAACGTCGGGTTTCTAAAAATAAATAAATAAGAAAGCCACCCTGCTTCGCTGGGGAGAGAAAAATACAAAGGGGGAGGACTCGGGGGCTGGAGGGGGGGAGCTGCACTCTGTTCTCAAAGTTTAATTTCCAAGTAGAGACCTTGAAGCATGATTTATTAACATCATGCTGTTTGCTTTTGTCACGTTGTGGATGTGACGGGGGGGGGAGCGCTGGCCCCTCTCCAGCCCAGACCACCCAGCGAGCCGAGCGGAGCTACTGGCGGTGCACACCCCGGTTCAAAGGTTCACCCCCAATTCACCAGCTCCATCAGTCACCAGCCGCCTGGCTCCGCCACCCCATTGGAGGCAACAGCAAAAAAAACAAAAACACCCCCCCCCCCCCAAAAAAAAAAAAAATATCCTAACAGACAGGCTGTCTGGGACGCGAGAATTGCAAAAACAATCCCCACCCCATCACGGAGAGTATGTGTGCACGGAGGAGAGGGAGCGTGAGGAGGGGGGAGAGAGGCAACGAGACAGGCAGAGGGGAGGGAAGAAGGGAGGAGGGAGTCCAAGCTCTGAGAAACATCACTCCATCTCTCTCACTCCACAGGAGCTGAGCAAGGAGCAGGACGATGTTTGACAACACGCAGTACCCCTATAACTGCTTTAATTATGATGGGGATGATTATCCTACCTGTAGTTCTGACGAAGAGAAAAAATTCACCCGACCGGCGTACAGGTAAGATGAAGTTTTTCCAAGTCTCCCCATCTCCGGGGAGGTTTCTGAGCTCTGGGATGGTGGGATCACAGCTCCTGGGGGAGTGTGGGACCTTTCCCCAGGTGTGGGCGGTGGGTCTGGCCCCGGCGCAGGCACCGCAGCAGGCAGATTTCCCCCCTTCTCCCTGTTCGAAGTGTTCATGATTTGTTTTCTCCTGTGCGGGGTCACAGCGACTCTGGCATGCCGTTGAGCCACCAGACCTCAGATGGTCTCCTCCGACCTCCAGGAGCCCAGGGAGAAGGGGAATTAAACGCGCGACACGCCAACGGGTGAAACGGATGCCGATAATCCCCGGTGTGGTGGGAAGATGCGCGGTGTAAATGTTCTCGGGGGCACCTAAGGTCCTTGCCACGAGCAGGCAAGGTCTCCAGTGACGGTGTCTCTGAGCCTGGTCTGTCTCACTGCAGCCTTCCAGCTCAGGAAAACTTTTCTGATGGGGTTTGAGAGGTGGGTGATCTTTCTGCCATCCTCCTGTATCTAAGCTCTCTGTGCTGAGCGCCGGGGCAAACAGCCCGGTGGGGACTCAATTGCCTGGAAGTAACGGCTGAGTATCACCCCGGGGGCTCGGGTTGGAGAGGCAGCAACCCCGCTCGGGACTTATCCCTGGGATGTCTCGGGTCAGGGCGCAGATCCACTGGGAGAACTTTTGGAAGCAGGATATAGGCACAGATACACCCATGTGGTCCCAAAACCTGAGTGTGTTAGGCGATGGTGTAACAGCAAGTTTTCCTTTTTTCAGCTACATTGCCTTAATTGCAATGGCCATCCAGCAAAGTCCTTCAAATAAAGTCACCCTCTCTGGCATTTATGACTTTATAATGAAGAAATTTCCTTACTACAGATCAAATCAAAGAGCCTGGCAGAACTCCATCCGACATAACTTATCGCTTAACAGTTGTTTTGTAAAGGTAAGATCATTAACTGTATATTTACATACACACTGTGCGTGGCTAAAAAAAATATATGCAGGAATAATCTCATCACTGAGAAAGAAGGGAAACAAACAGCTGAACTGCGAATCACTTAAAATCTCTCGAGTCGTCAGTTATAGAGATACAGAGTATATGCTTGTCTGATGCGTGCTAATAGATAACAAATTGAAGAGGATGGAGTTTACATCCTATTGGTATAATGAAAGAGAATAGGCTTAAAAGTCTTGTCATATGTGTTTACACCATTCTTGAATGTAAATGAATGCAGATGTTAAGCAGCAGCATCTGTAACACATACAAATACTGAACTGCCTTTAAATAAATACAGGTTCCCAGAACAGAAGGGAATGAGAAGGGGAAAGGAAACTATTGGAGCTTTGCAACGGGATGCGAATCCATGCTGGATCTCTTTGAAAACGGGAATTACAGGCGAAGACGGAGGAGGAGGAATGTGAAAAGGGAACATAAGGAGCAGAGACCAAGCAGAGGGAAAAGTCCTTCATCCCCCGATATGTCTTCTGTGGACTCTGCTTTAAACAACATTTCTTCTTCTGAAAGTAAACACGGAAGAACTGAATCGGGCCCAAGACTACTGGAGCCTCGTGGGTTTGCTCCAAACAGCGTGACCAACAGGCAAAGCCTAAGCAATTCCTCCTTAGCAAAATCGGATTCTGAAATTAAATTCAGCATCGATTACATCCTCTCAGCCCCTGACCCTTTGCCTGTCGTGAGATCTCAATATAATAGGCAAGAAAATAAATATCATCTCCTGGAGGCCCAGCAAATTAATCTCCAGTTCTGGACAATGTGATGTTATTTATTCGTGGTAACAAAATCTGAGCTGCAGTGTATTCAGCAGCTTCATGTCACTGAAATTCAGGCGCCTGCCTCCTCGTTTGCTTCCTGAGCAGTACTCAGAAAGGGTTACCGATTCACGAGCTGATACTCTGTCTGTACCCAAAGAACTTCGCTAAGATTAAAGCATAAATAACAGTTACCAATATCGGTTTTCACTACGCTGAAATTCATGAAATTCTAGCTTTGTTTTCTTAACTGTCGTGGACATCATTTAACACCACAAAAAAATTTCCTTTCTCAAGCAGAATCTGACAGAAAAGAGACTTGCTTATCACCCGTTGCTTTATTAAAGACAAAGTGAATTTGATTCCACTTACACTGGTGGAAATTAGGATTAATTCCACTGAAGTATATAGGTCAGAACTTAAGCTGATCTAAAACAGTGTAATTCTGTTGACTTACACTGGCTGAGAATGTAAGGGAAGCGGGGGGGGGGGCTTAGTTTTCTTAAAAGGAATCACAGAAAATCACTCTGTCTTCCCTTATTTTTTATTTTAACATCACGTTTCAAGCTGTTGTGCAGCTTTAATTCATCATTAATTAGAAAATGTAGTTATTAATGTTTTTTAAAGTATATTTTTGTTGATATTCAGGGCAGAGTTGTTTAAACTGGTGTAGTGAAGTTGTATTCAAAATAATTCCAAGAAAGCTAATCGCAAGGCTGTTGAACTCTGATTGACTTTGATGGGTAATGTGACAGAGGCACAGGGCCTCTTAATGCCTTGGTTTAAAAAAAATAACCCTCTCCCCTTGTACTATCAGAAAGCTTCCTGAGATGCTGCAGGAAAGTCCTTGAATATATTTCATTTAGCAAGTGTGAAGGGACACCCAGCTTTGCAAGAAGCTGTATCCAGTGTTGACCAAAGCCAAAATTCTACCTACCTGCTTTGAGACAAGTTGTATATTCCTATTAAATAGATTTTTATTGATCCTTCTTGGAAGCAATTACCAAAGTAGTACTTGATACGATTTCAGCAAAGCTGGTGAGATTTATAATTTACAGATAGCAATGTTAGATCATGAGCTCCATTTCTAAAGAAAGCCGTTTCTTTACCATTTACATGCGGTCAGGTATTTCAGAACAGAACCTGATGGACAATGATGAACTGTAATGAGCATTTAAGAACTTGCTTTTATACAACTTGTTCACAATGAATTGCTTCCCAGTACCTTGGGCAGCATTAGTAAAGACTCCACAAAATCTTGGTTTTGGCCTGGCTACTACAATCTTCACCTACTGCAGATAATAGAAAAAAAGACAAGGATTCTGGCAGTTTTAAGCAATTATATACAGAGAGGTAAAATTATCTTTGCAACATGAACTAAAGGTAAATGAAGGTATATGAGATAAGATTAAGCAAAATTGTGCTAGAGGTATGCTCAGGCATGACTTGAATTTTTATGCAGAAGCTTTGACATTTCACTAAGTTATTTTACATTGTGTCTAATATATACTGTACATTTATACTATATATTCTTATATATTGTTATTGAGAAAGGGAGCAATATCACTGCACTTATATGTTGTAAAAATGCATGATGTATGTTGTCATGATGCTGAAACTCCTGCCATATACTTAAAATTTACCATCAGTGGTATTTCACACTGATTGGTAATAAATGCTCATTTTTTGGAAAACTATAAAACTTGCTATCTTCAGGCATTTCCATAGCATGCAAAAGTCTTTGCTTCTTCTTCAAAATAGACAAAATGGAAAATCATGTCAGTTACATCACTGCATGTCTTCCAAACTTTGAAGGGATGATTTCTTGTGACCAAATTTTACCTTCAAATGGGAGCTTTCCATTCTCTGTGAATCAATGGTTATGCTGGGCAATTATCTGAAAGCAAAATTTGACTCATTAGACCTGATTGATCTGCTGTTTACATTGATGTTAGAAAAAGAAGAAAACCTCTGGGGTCACTGGGCAGGTGGATTCTCATTTGAAGAGGGACAAGGATTTGCTCCTTTAGTATTTATGTTCAGTAGTAAATAGATGTGGGAAGAGCATGTCCTCATTTAGTACTTCAATGTATGCATGCACTCACATGTGGGTTGGTATGTGTGCACCTCTAGGATCCTCCCTACATTTATATATTCATGCTTTATATGCAGATTTTTTCTTGATTGTTTTAAACATGGCAATGCTGCTGTTAGGCTGATAGTACACATCTGCAGTATATTTGAAATATATATTTTTTGCTGTGAAATGTGCAGATATGATTCTTACTATGTGTTCTTTGTTAATGCTGTTAGCAAAAGGTAACTCAATGACAGCGAAAGTTCCTACTAAGCATACACCTTACCCAGGTGAACACAGTGGGCTGCTGAGGCTAATGGAGATACAGTTATGGCTACTAAGCAATATAGGATAAATGTGTTAGGAAAGGCAGAAATACACCCAGGTGGATTTACAGCAGAGATCCAAAACCATTTTCAGTAAGATGAATTAATATTCACAAATAGCCATGTCCTTTGCTCACAGTAAAGTGCCTGCTAGGAGAGACAGTCATACTTGAGTTTCCCTAACATATAATCAAAGAAATTTGTGTACAAATAGGTGTTAACATTTGTTTTGCAAAGGATATCAATCATATTTCAAAAAATGAAGGGACATATTTCAATTTACCCAGTATATTATATTCTGACGACTCCAGAAAGGTTTCCAGCACTTAAAGTGAATGGCATTTAATATAGAACAACATAACAGGGGTGAGGGCTAGACGTGACCTTATTCAAATGTCGTAGCCATTACAAAGCCATTCCCAATGTAATTATAATTAAATACTTTATGCCTTTCTTGCAAATCCTCTGATCGATCATTGATATTAACATTAATATTGTATTACCCCCGAGCAAATGTCTCCCACACAAGTGTTATGGATCACCAGGTTTCCATTAACAAAGTTGTGAGCTATTGCCGTATGCTGGTCGTGGATAAATTTACGTAAATTACCTTTTCTCAGGGAAGGGGGGATGAAGTCTAGTTTTTTTTCTTTTTATCCCTGCACTCTGAGTCTAGAGCTATTTCTTCGGCTCCATCACAGCCTGTCAGCCACTTACATAAAGCCATAATGAAAGAAAAAAGAAAATCTCACAGGAACATCCCTCTTTGCTCTGTGTTGAAGCAAGTGAATATTCTGCAGCTGTAGCTGGTTTGGCACACGGGTTAAAAGCTGAGCTGAAGCCAGGGCTGAGCAGGGCAGGGCAGGGCTCTGCACCCCACCAAGGCCATCACCGGGCTGGTTTGGCTGTGCGCAGCAGCCAAAATGAGCAAAGGTATTGGTGTTCAGCTCAATTCCTCATCCCGAGGGGTCTTCCTGACTGCAAAGAGAGACCCAGAATGAGTCGTGCATTTCCTACCCCCAAAAGAGGTGCTTCCCTTGGGGGGTTGACTCTGCCTGTCCCAAGCCCGGGATGAGGCAGGAGGCAGACGCGGGAGAGCAGCTCCTCCCTGCCGGGCTGGTGGGCAAGGCGGGGGGAGAACAAGCCTTTTGTCCTCTCCTTTTGGGATCATAAATACCTTTGCAAAGGAAAGATGAAAGGTTTCTTTCTGGGGAGAAGCTAGACTCGGCCTCACTGAGGGACCCTGGGGTGTTTTGTTTACTTATCCTTTTAAAGGAAGGCTTCCCATGATAAAACAAAGATTTCGATGGAGCCACGCCAGGTTATTCTGCAGCAATTTGACTTCTAATGATTTAATTTCTTAGGCTTTTCTCATTGGTGTCACAGAAGTGGTTTTTGCACAGCAAGATGATGCTCTGCCTCGGAATGAAATTCAAAGTACTTGGGCAAGGATGCAGCACTTTGTTTTCCCACCATGAGTGAAGAGAGGCCAGATAACACCCAATGCAGGCCAGTGGTTGACCGCATCTACGGGAACCTGTCCCTCAGCAGAACATCCTCCTCATTATGGGAGTGTTAATGCAAACTAGGCTAGCTGAAAACAAACCTTTTCTTTGTCAGTAAAGCCAAGTTCCCCTATTTTTCTGCCAATCAGATAGATCTTATTAGTTGAGACCCATTAACTCCCCGTATAAACAGAAGCTGTGTTCAAGGAGCATTTGAAGGTCAAACCACCCTGGAGAGCTGGCTCTCCCCATGCCTTTGCTTTGTTGTCCTCCATCTCGTTGCTTGGGCTGCCACAACCTTCCTCAGCTGCACAGCAGGTTGGTTCTCAGCTACCTTGCAGAGCGATCTGCATGCTCCCTCAAAGCTGAATTGAGATTTTTGCACAATTTTCTGGCAGAGGGTTTTTCTTTTGGGTAGCAATTGCCTGTTCAGGTCCAAATCTTGTGTGTCCTTTCCACTTTCTACCCATAGAGTGGACACACTGAGAGGGGAAGGGGTTTGATGGGACAAGCCTTGGGGGAAAAATTTCTGCTACACCTCTTCCTGTGGTACAGAACTGGTTGGGACTCTGTGAACGGTAAAGTGCAAGGGCCCTTGGGGTTGCGTATCAAGTCTCTGTACTGTAAATCCTGGGCAGCATCTCCCCAGTGTCCCACCACACACAAGCTGAGGCAAAAGAGGGAACCTAGCCCGCATGCCCCTAAGAAAACAGGGCTTTAGCCTTTGCCTCTGACAGCGTAACACAAATCCCTGCCTGTAATCTGCACTTCAGATCCCAAACCAAAGACATGGAAATCCTGCTCTACTCACTGCAGCTGGCCTCTCTCCTCTCTGTCTTCTCTGGGGTGCATTGTCCTCCCTGCCGTGCGGGTGTAAATCCTTGCAATTCCATTAACTTTGGTACAATTACTTTTTAATTGAAATAGCACATGTGAAACTGAACTTTGATATTTTACCCAACGTTTCTACTCACACAGTCTGCCCAACTGTGCCAGTAACTCATGTCCTAGATAGCATTCTCAGAGCAACAAATGGTCCTGCCTCTTTATTTCGCCTCAGCATCCAGCTTCTAATTGCTTTCTCCAGAATATGGGCACCA